TTTTTTTTGTCATAGTTTTAATTTTGTTAATTTATAAATATTTATAAAATTAAAATTTTTATTCTATGTCTGAAATTTAAATTTTCGTAGCCTCTTTAAAAAAAAACGAAAAATAATTACAAATAAATATTGCATTATTTATTTTATTTTTTTCTAAAATTTTTTTTTAAAATAGTTTAAAAGAAAAAGAAAATTTTTTTTAAATTATTTTTTTTTTTAACTTTGAAAGAAATAAAAAATATTTATATTTTTTGTTTTATTGAAATAAATGCATAAATTGTAATAAAAATATATTGTTTATTAAAAATAATAAAAATAAATTAAATATTATACCTCTTTAAAATTTAAACTGATTTTATATAAAATGGATTTTCCAAAATTATTAAACAAACCTTCAATAGGTATAATAAAAAAAAAAAATTAAAAAAAAAAAGATTATATATTAGAATAAAAGTATGAAAAGTGTTATTATTTTAACAATTATATATTTATTCAATTCGAATTATAGACTTATTAAAAAATGATTTTCCTCATTCAAGCAAATTTGAGTTAGAACATACTAGTATTTCTAAATATCCGGTACTATATAGAAAAAAGAAGAAAAGTTTTTGTATTTTTTAATTAATATTTTTATATATATAAATGATTTTTTTTTTTTTTTTTTTTTTTTTTTTGTAGTTTTTAAAAAGTGGTTTATCCTTTTCAAATAATATATACAGTGTTTATACAAGTTTTAAAAATAGTATTTATGACACAAAAAATGAAATAAAATTTGATAACACAGGAGTAAATTTTCTAGATATAAAATATCAAGTAATTATTTGTATATAGTTTTTAAATATATTATTGTTATTATTGTCAATATTTTTTTTTTTAAATTATTATTTAACTGATTTTATTTTTTTTTAGCCGAGTTTCATAAAAAATGTAAATGTGTGTGGAAAATATATGAAAAATAATGGGAAAGCAGATGACTCATTTGAAATATACACTGAATATAATACAGAGGATACAAATATATTTTCATCAATTAATGTGAGAAATTTATTTTTTAAATATATGCATGTATATTCTCATCCAAAATATTCAAATTTTAAATGTGGAGGTAATAATTTCTTATCATAATATTATAAAAATATAAGTTTATAGCATATATATATATATATGTATATATAATTTGATTTATTTATAGGTTTAATTCAAGGAAATTTAGATATCAAAAACTTACAATACTCATTCGGTGGTGCATATACGAAGAATCATAATGATAATCATTATATTTTTTCATTAAGATCGTAATATTAAAGAAAATGATAAAAAAAAGAAAATGTTGATTCATTTATGTATTAATTACAATAATTTATATATATATTTTTTTTTCTTTAGAATTCCAAGCAACAAACATTTATGTGGCTCATTAGCATTTAATTTATATTTTCAAAATAAGAATATAAATGATAACGCTGTTAGTATTGAAGTTATTCAAAATTTCATAGAGAAAAAAGCAAATATAAATGTTGCATCAGTTTGGTTTGTTAATAATAAAAATACTTTTATAAAAACAAAAATTAGCAATGATACTAAAGTTGCTTTATCACTAACTCATAAATATAATGAATTTGTAACTGTAACATTAGGATCACAGGTAAAATCATCTTATTACATTAAAATAAAATAATAATAAAATTATGTTTTCTTTAATGTTTTAATATAAATCATTATAAATGTATTTTTTTTTTTTTTTTTTTTTTTTTTTTGAAATTAATTTTTTTTAGATTGATATATCAAAAATATCTTTACCAGATAATACAAAATTTGGAGTTAAATTATATTTAAAATCCTAGTTTTTTTTTTTTTTTTTTTTTTTTTTTTTA